TGTTCGGCCCCACTTAGAATATGGCATACAAGCATGACAGCCATGGCTAGTAAAGGACCAAGCATGACTCGAACGAGTACAACGGCGTGCAACAAAGCTGGTAAACGGTCTAAAAAGCCATTCCTACACAGACAGACTGAATTGCCTTAATCTATTCCCTCGGTGCTACAGGCAGCAAAGAGGTGATCTAATCCTGGTTTACAAGATAATACATGGCCTTGAGCATGGACTTAGCTTTGAGGACATGTTTCAGTGGCACCTTTCACCCAATCTTCGTGGCCACTCGATGAAGCTACGGACAACAATGTCCAGGCTGAACCTTCGTTCTGAATTTTTCAAGCAGAGGGTAATGGAGAAATGGAACGATCTCCCTCAGTCAGTCGTGGAGGCTACGTCTCTGCAATTCTTCAAGAAACGCTTGGATGATTATTTGTGTCCCCTGTTTTCCCTCGACAGTCTGAATCTGAACTAAGACCCCACGTCCCCACAAATATTTTATCTGAGGCAATGCTACTCAAACGAATCAAGTACTGTCTTAATGGTGAATATTTTTTGTTCGTGTATAGTTATTTCTAACGAGCTGACATGTAATCAATAGCGTTTTCAAAGGCTTTGCCTATTGTCCTTACCAAATAAACTGAAAAAATAAATAAACTGAAAATCCATATACACGCCTTTTTCTTCCTTCTCTATTGGCAGAGCAGATGAAGCCATGTTTACCTACGTACGTTCTTTCCTTCTCATAATTCCGGATATCGGAGATATCCTCTGTCTGGGTAAACAGCGAAGGAGTCTGCAGCATTTCATACAGGCTTCTTTTAAATATTTGACATCCATCCAACTTACCAAACTCTACTCGTTTGGTAGGTAGGAACTTAATAGCAGAATATACAGAATTGTCAGCTTAGGCCAATTTATTAAGCGGGTGAAGCTTTCGCACTTGAGCTCCCCAATCAATTTGTGCATAAGTAAATCTGGGAATCCAGTCGTTTTTGCTATGACGAACGGTTATTCTTGCACACATTTCAGCCTGACCGTCAATCGTCGATAGTCTTGTGACTGCCTTGTTGGTCGCGCCACATCAGTGCCGGAGGTGGTGTCCACCTTAGGGCGGATCCGTTGCAAATTGCCCTACAAGAACATTTCCGACTTCCTTTATTAGTTAAAAGAATCTGGAACGTATTCACTGTTATGGGACAAAATTAATTTTAACCAACCCAATTGCGCGAAGCAAATGGCAGGACGAGTCAGCGTTCGTGGATTTGGAGAGGTCCGTCTAGCTGTTGGCAGCGAGGGGGTCCTCCTCAATGAAACGTGGCCGTAAATTTGTGAAGATAAGGATGTCGCTGATTTAGATCCGATTTTTTAAATGCGCGGCCAGTGAACCGAAGTTAAAAAGAAGGTGGGCTCCCCGTTTGTCGAAAGTTTAAAGCGAAATTTCGAAACTCAGGAAAAAAGTATCTTTTTGAAGATGACACTTTGACCCCTTACCCAACTATGACCAACGTGAGCTACATATAGGGATAAAGCAAACACGGTAACTTGTACGCAATTTATTTTATAGTGAGCGTAGACCTGCGCTGTAGCGGCCGAGAACGTCAAGGGTAGCACACACCGAAGTAGGGAAACGCTGAGAGTAAATCCTGGAGGAGATAGATCTGAACAGAACCGTTAACATCTCTTGAAACTCATTCACACGCCGCAGAAGAGGGTACGTCGAGAAAGGGATACAGTACAATATAAAGAGACGGCGCGGGAAATACGTATAATAATACTAATAATCGTTACTTGTACAGGTAGAATGAGTTACAACCGTAGAATAACCTGTCTGGGTGGAGTGGCGATACCGACATCCAAGTTCATTAAACGGTGGCGAATGCAGCGCTGTGGGCAACTGCGGGGAAGGGCCGACGGAGGTGCAGATGTAATAATAATATTGATAATAATTTTTATTCAAGACCCGTGAGGGTCCTATCATAGCAAGTAAGAATAACTTTTACATTCATTTTAGAATTTTAGACGAGGTACACATAATTATTAGAGTACTTAATTTACAGGTTTTTAATAAGTAGCATGTTACGAAGAATGTTGAGCGAGCAGTAAAAACACTCCTAACATAAACAAAATGAGTATGATTAGATTAGAACTATAGAAGGAAAAAAACTCTCGTTCCCTAGTTTATAAAAAGCAGGCAGGACCGGACTGTATATGGCATTGTATGGCGGAATTCATGGAGGGGTAAGTAGGCGGGTCAGGCAGGACTGCCCTTTACGTAGACTGGAGCAAATGGATCTAGTCGGGAATCATCAGGGGAAAATTCATATGCCAGATGAGGCTATTTATGTCAAAGTGGCGAATTGAAAACCTGTTTCGAGGCGATAGGGACCCAGATGCGATCAGTTACATTCAGCCGCATCCAGTCGAGGACGGGGCAAGGGAGATGCGACAAGACTACTAGTGTATGGCAAATACAGAAGGTTCCGCCAAGAAAGTCGATAGATTGCATTCTGTGAGGGCACGATGGATGGACTGAAAGACCGAAAAATTAATATTTTTGATGAGGGATCCTAGGAAACGATACGACTCAAAAAAAGAAGGAAATGTGAGCAGATACGGAAATTTAATGGCGGCGTCCTAAATTCCCGGGGGCCCTTTCTGAGTGTCATAGAGAAAGTCGTCCGGGAAGGATGAGGAAAAAAAAAGTTTAATCAAGTCAGTATTTAGATAAAGGCGTAGCCTTCTCTTAAAGGTGTGTAGATTATCTGAAGATCTTATATTTATTGGAAGGTTATTCCAGAGGAAAGTATATCTGGAAGCGAAAAAAGAGAGCGCTTAGAGGTGGAGGAAGCAAGAGGAGGTATAATTAAGGACGAGATTGTATGGGCGACTACTATGGGTAAATGCTAAAATCCGAGGAAGAGTTGAACTATTATCAATGGGAAAGAGGAGACAGAAGCCTGCTTCTAGCCTTCGAACCCATAAAAATGTTAGGTTAATTAGCTGGCATCTGTCTGAGTAGGAGATATTGGGATGTTCCCTATCTAAAAGTTTTTCAGAAAAACGTCTTTCGACATATTCAATTTTAAAACGACTAGCCTCATTCATCAAACCAAAGAATGGGCAACAACAATCGAGAATGGGAAGTACAAATATACGATAATGTCTTAATTTAAGTTCCGTACGATAGAAATTGTAAGAAATAAAGCCACAAATCTGGGCGGTTTTGGCAGTAATTCTGTCGGCATGTGACGAGAGATCAAGATTATTTGTGCAGCTTAAACCTAAATCCTTGATGGAGGTACATTCAGTCATAGGTGTGCCTTGAAAGACCACTGGTTGAGGTAGCCTCTCAGGTCCAAAACACATATAGCGGCATGTAGACGTAGAGGATTCCATTAGCTACTTTGAGTTCCAACCTGAGAGAGCAAGCAGGTCAGCATGCATTTGCTCCAGGAAATGAAGGCTGGCAGATTTGTAGCGAGGAGGAGGGCGATACGAACGTTACGTTACGGTACGGTGCGCGGGAAGGGATCGGCGGAAGAGAAAGGAAGGAACACACGCCATCTTCACCGACACGCGACTACGCCATCTCCACCCTAGGTCCTCGCGCCGAAAAGTGTCACCACATTCAAACAATCCTGATCATGTCCAGGGGCGTTACAGCGCAGCCTCTGTCACACGCCCTCCTGCCCACGTCAGCCACATGTCAAGACAGCGTCAGGAAGACCGGAGGGAGGGGGAGAGACGGCGAACGCAGGTGGGTAGCACGGCTGGGTCCAAACCTTAGCGCTCCATTCCCGGACATGATCCACATGGCAAACGAACAGGATTTCAACCAACAACAACAAAAACAAAGCAATGGCAAGTCAGAGGGAGAAAGATGACTTGGCAGCCATACTCAAGACCTGCAAACCCAGTGGGACACAAGCGCATCTATCGGTGGGGAACCAGGTTACAGAGAACTGCCAGCGCATATCGGGATGGGAGTGCGATGATCTTTGAAGACCGAGACAGCAGAATATGCCAGTGTTTACGGTGAAAAAATTGGAGGCACACTCTTCGTTCGTAACGAAAATTAATTCCATAAGGACAAAAATGAAAAATAAGTTGGTCCGAAAGTTTCACCAGGGTCCAAGCAAAAATTCCCATTCAAATAAAAAATTATCCAGACAAGTCAGGAGATATAATCTTTTTTGAGCGTTATGCGAGCAGACTTATCGAAAACCTACATTGAATTCGCAAGTTTCAGAGCAATAATGATATGAATTCTGCAACAAAGTGCTTAAAAAATTATGCTACCGTTAGGAACTTCCTGTGGAACTATGGATGGCAGCGAAGGGGACAGAGACTCCCTGCAGAATTGAGTCAAGTATGCCTGGTCATCGAGTAGGAAAACTGATAACGTGCTCCTTCATCCCGATATCTAAGACATCCTCAAAAGTCCTAAAGCCCGAGAATGAGGGTCACGTGCAGCCAGAAGCAGTAAAGCCACGCAACATTAGTTACTACTGGGACTTAAAATACGCCCCCATCATAAAATATTTTAGGGAAAAATTCTGGAAATCTTTTAAAGCTCAATTAAAGGAGACTTTGAACAGATAACAAATGTTTCACATAACTTTTAATCATGAACCTGGAAACCCAAATTTCCCTGGAGGATAAACAGTTGTTAGTCACAATATCTGCGACAGGCACATCCGTATCTGCCAGCGTATTCTTAATAACCAACAAATCTGGCTGTCGATGAGAGAGAAACAGCTTGAAGTAGGGACGCTAATGCGGAAGCTTGGGTTTCACACCCATGAAATTTTTTGTAATAAAGCGAAAAGCCCGTTGGAGTTTGTTGGACCTTGAAGTAATTTTGGATTTATTTGAAATATTGAAAAATATGCTTATTTAGGTGATTGGAAGACCTGAAGCCTTCTCAATTAACCTTGTGGCTTGAATCTATTTATCACCATAACGATACTCAAGGACAATTAAACCCTCGTAATTTGAATATGAAGATTGTGAACTTTCGCAGAACTGAAGCGTTAGACGCAATTTTTATTCAAGAACTAATAGACACAGATGACACGTTTTTGACCAGAAAAGTTAACCTTATAAACTTACTGTAAGTGTTCGGTTTGCCTTTTAAAGCAGACAGGGAACACTCCTTGATTTCTATCACTGCCACGAACATCGACAATAAAGTCGTTGGGTGCTTAGTCCTTAGTGACACTCCGCCCTCAGAAATTCTCAACAAAGAACGTGGAAACGAGTGGTTTAGGTTGCGGTTCAGATTTAGCAACTTAAATACATGCAATACGTTGTTCATAAATCTATTTGTTCTTCATCGATTATATCGGAAATTTGGATACGAAAAATTTATAAAAGTAGCCTTCTCTACGTCTATAGATATACACCATCTTCTGTTCTTGGTACCCTCGAGTGTTGAGTTGGGTAAATTTGTTGTTTACCGTCGTATTTTTTGCCTATAGATGAACTAGACGAGAACGACCCTGTCCGTGATGTGCGTTTGATATTCAGCAAGTTCAGGGATAAGACAATAGGCCCCATTCAATTTACGGAGCCAAACCCAAACTCCGCTGAAGACCCTGCACTGTTCCATTGGGAAGTTGTACATTTTAAGAGGGATGCATTCTTTCCTGTTCTGTACGCTAGACCAGCCCGGTAAGTATTGATCTACTTCTTCATATTTATCAGCGTCAATGATAACGATGATGTACAGCCGATATTTGAGAGCAAAACTAAAGTTCTATCCGACACATATGGCGAATTTTATTCCGCAGAGCTGGTCGAGGCCCAAAATGACCACCTGAAAACGATAGTCGTTGAGGTAGTTTTTAATGCATACTCAAGCTTGTTTTCTAGGTCGATGGGCAAGCCGTTGGCTACATGAGTGCCACCACCGAATTTGACATTGATTTTGTTAACAAACAGTATGATTTGACTCCTTTCAACTGCCTTCGTAAAAACAAAGTCGTGAATAGCGAGATTCCCAACGAAGGCAACGACCAAAAGAAGGATGAGTCAAAGCCCGATGAAACGTTGAACACTGATATAAAAGCTTTGCCAGCAGATGACATGCGAACCGAAATAATTGAGGATAATAAAACGACAGAGAAGGATGTACCGGAAGAGACCGAAGGAGTTGCTTCTGAGAGAGGTTTGAATTGGGACAAGTTAATTCTGGAAGATAGAGACGAAGGTGAGATTCTTTTAAGTTATAAAGAGCAGGTTTTAAACTAATCGAAAATCTAAGGTTTCTAAATTCAAATTACTTATAAACATTTTTACCTTTATATAAGACGCAAAACGTCTGGCGAGCACGAAAGCGCATTTTTCCAATAATTGTCTAATTTTACTGAGCATCAACTGAACATGTCCTACATTGCAAACCTGAGATTGTAAGGACAAGACAGATTGATCTTAGCTTCGGCACTCCGTAGAAAATTGTAAATATTTTGGTTTAGGTTATTATATCGCCACTGAGATAGCCAACTTTATTGTCTTTTTCGCTATTGGCCTATTGTAAAAAAGCCGCAGTTATTTACTTTACCACTGTTTCTTCGTAAGAAGTGGTAAAATGTGTAGTGTCAACAATAAGCAAAACCACAGAAAAATAATAGATACAGGGAGACTTAGCTCTAAACGGATATATTTCGTTTGAACTATGAATAATAACAAAAAGCGAATAAAAGGACGCCGATGGTGAACTGTTGCCTACAATCACAAAAAAGAAACGTCGTTTCCAGTACGAGGTTATAATGAAAAAAGAGCGTCCTTATGGTTAATTCCAAAAAGTTTTAAACTGACTCTTGCTGACAGTGCTAGTTTCTCGGATAAATGAAAGTCCGACAAGGTGTGACTGACAGGTGATTCCCGGGGGCTAAAGCGTTTTACTAAAAAGGATTTATGCACATAAACTTGATCTGTGAACAACCGATGTCTAAAGGCAGCGAAGTAGGAATACCAGTCGCTGCAAGTCGAAGCCGGTTGTTGCATGTATTCCACATATTCAACCAAGGGTGCGGGAAAGTCCGGGTGCATCAGAAAACAGTCAGAAATGTACATAGACCTGCACAGTCTAAACTAAGGGATTTCTCCGCTCCTCTGCTTGATGCACCATCGCATTTGAGATAGTAATTTTGATAAAAAGTCGCGTATCTGTCACAGTTCAAAGACCCGGCAGTCACAAAAAACAACATCTTTTTTAAACTAATTTCGCGCTCTAATCAGCAAACATTTTACAAATAAGGTTTTAAATCAGAGTTCCACTAATGCAGTTGCTTTCGTGAGTTCGTAATATTCCATGAGTGCTGACTGGAATGCGTTATGTTGCCGCCTCTTGGGCTACATATTCGATCCTTAGAGGATGATTTTTTCAAAGAGCTTTAGACAAACCCACAGTATACGTTGCTCATCTCACTGTCTTGTGGAGTCGTCGGCTGTTAATCATAGCATCTAGTTAAAGTTTTGTTTTCATTTTCTCCACTCTTGCTCCACTTGCAGACAAAACTTCACCACGGTCACGCTCTCGAACGCCAATGAAAAAAGCCCTTCTTCACTCGCTTAGTGACGCCTCGGAGGATATACGTTCGAATCTGTTGACTAGCAGTCAAAGCCTGGAACAGCATATTCGTGTCATGCACACTGCCGATGGCAATTGGGTTCGGCGTTACATTTCGCGGGCCCTGCTGGACGACAGCAATGACGGAGAAGAGGGTTCTAAAAAATTTGGCGAAATTCCGAATGCATTTATCATCCAGCTGTTTGGCATCAAAGATGAGGTGGATACGAGGTTAGTATTTAACGACCATGCGTCATCTTAGAAACTCTGATGACACTCATGCCCACATTGGGTTCATTTTTTTCTCCCAAAGGTCCATCGACTTCATGCCTCTCATCTTTAACTTGCTGCCGAATTTGGACTATGCAATCATCAGCGTGCCCCGATTGGTTCCAGAGTTTCAGCTCCTTCAACATTTTACGGCAAGTTTCAGTTGATTTCGTGCAAATAATCGTACGGCTTATGCTTTTTGAGAGACGTTAAATGCAGCCTGGCATGTTTCTTAAATAAGTAGTGGGTATGGCGATTTTGAGTCAGATCAATCTTATCTTAACTTTCTCTTTACTTCTATAGTACCCATATTTCCTATCACTACCAAATTGTACGGCGAAAAAGGTAGTGGTAAATCATGCCGGCGTAGTCCGGTTTAATTTGTAGGAGGGTTCATCTCACAGACTCCAGGAGGGCCCACAAGGAAGAAGTTTTCTGGGACGACAGGAGCTACAAATACCTCGAGAAAAACAAAGTAGAATCGAAGAGGAGAACTAAGGCCTCAGAGACTGAAGCGGTGTCTGTATCAGTCGTTCATGATCTAAAGTAATATTTACGCCTACTGTCCCTATATAAGTAGGCAATATACATTCTGATGATGCGGACTGTGTAAATGACAATTAACTTAGCCAGGAAGCTTTGACATGTGACCGACTTGAATCCTCAGCCTATTTAATCCTCTTTGAACGCTCAATCAAGAAACTACAAACGACTGGGTAAACATCGATCTTCCTCTCTGTATGACCAGAAAGTCGTCCTAATGATCTACACTGCTTTCCTGCTGGATTACAAGGGAAACGGGTTGGGCGGTAGAGCAGTAAATCGATATTGGAAATGTCGACGGTTAGGACCCATCCGCAATATATTCTCCCGACTGTATGTATTCGTATCTGCAATGTGGAGGCTAGCAGACCGGACGCTTTGCGTTTTCTGTTATCCCCTCTCTGCATTCCTCTTTAGCGTGCTCGCCCTAAACGGCAGTCGACTGTGACGCAAGAGCTCTACGTTTTCCATCGCGCTTGTCTCATGAGGTGAGTGCACAAAGTTAGAAAAGGCTTTCTTTATGCAATCATTTTGTTAACATCGGCCTCCTCCTCCTCCTACTTTCCTCTTCCCCCTTCTCCTCCTCCTCCTCCTCCCCCTCCTCCTCCTCCTCCTCCTCCCATGATTTAGTCCCATTCCTTATCAAGAATTCTTTCGTCTCGCCACATCTTCTCTTACTCGCATTTCCTTCCCGAAAAACCTATAATTTCGCCTCCTTCTATTCTCTTTGTTCCTCCGCTACCTCCTCCTCTTATCCGCCGCTTCAAGATCATCCTACTCTTCCCATACTCCAAAGAAATCACCTTCATCATTACTGCAGCCACCGCCACCTACATATAGGAGTCATTCCCCGTAATTTCTGAATTCTAGAAGGGCTGGCCTCACTGAATCAACCACATGAAGTCGTACATGTCATCATGCAGGTTACAGAACTTCGACCACGCCAGCTCACCTTCCCAATGGTATAGGTGGCTACAGTATGCGACACGATGGTTAGAACTATCAGCATAGAAACTGAAGTGTTTAGGTTCATGCAGGCTAATACTCACACCTTTGTCCTCTATCACACGACGCGTTCATTGTCCTACCCCGATGCTCGATCGCAACGAAAAACTAACTAGTCGCAGTTATGGTTCCCAATTAAACAATGACAACCACGAAAAGTAATATTACTACGACCGCTTACATAATCAACATTATTGTTGTTATTGTTATTATTATTATTATCATTGTTATACTAACCGCCAACACCACTACCACCACCGCCGCCACCACCACCACCACAACCACAATCATCATCATCATCATCATCATCATCATCATCATCATCATCATCATCATCATCATCATCATCATCATCATCATCATCATCATCAGCAGCAGCAGCAGCAGCAGCAGCATCATCATCATCATCGTCGTCGTCGTCGTCATCATCATCAGAAACAATAACGATAACAATAAAAACAAAACAGTAACAGCAGCGCCGTCGTCTCTGTTCCATTTTGGGGAGAAACTCGTTCGCTCCCTCTCTCTCTCTTTCCTCTTTCTAAATCAATGCCTTCTTTTTCGCCAGCCCCACCCTTCACGCCGCAAAATGAATTTTTATACTCTTCATTTACATCTTTTCTAGTTCATCATAACGGCTTTGTTTAAGCGGTGCCCTCTAGATCCGTTTTGCGGCAAAAAATCTTTCAAAAGCGTTTGAAGAATTTGGGGGGGGGGAGGTGCTCGTCACTTGGTATTTTTGAATTTCACTCAAAACTCCATGCAAAAGTTGGAATCGTAACTTGCGCGACTTTACAAACCAGCCAGATGCTTCTCACACTTATCTCCCTGAAAATGAATAAAAATGGCCCTTGATTACAGTAGGCGCATCTTATTTCTTAGTTAGGGTACCGTCCGTCCTTGGAATTTTTAATCTGTTTCCTAATTTTCAAGCTTCTTCGACTCAGTCTACAAATCCAAATTTCGCATTTGCATAAAGACGATGCAAGAGCTGGCCGAAGCGGATTTTCTTACTCATCGCAGTTATTTTCACATGGAGCTAGACATTTTGGCAACGGCAACTGTCGGTAGACAGCGGATCGTGTCATATGAGGTCTTATCTGGACATCCATTTACAGGTCGCTGCCGACATTATGTTGCCAACGACAGTTAATTCAGATGACCTCAAACCATTACGCCAACTCTGTCATTTTTTGAAATTTGCTTTTTGTTGGGTTTCTATTTAACGCCCTCATTCTTGTTGCCATACGAAAGCGTACGAGAAGACATTCGGCAGAAATCCAAACAACTTCTTGTGTTTTCTTGCATTTCGTCAGCTTAATGTCTGGCGTGCTGCCGTACCCCTAAAACCATCCATTGCCACCGTTCCCGTATGACACGATCTGCAGTCTGCCGACAAGTAAATGAGATCCTTGAGCCCACCGTTGCTCTGCTCTGAGAACTCAATTCGTTGTGACGCGCTTTCGCGAAGAAACGAGACACCCTGATACACCAATCTCCCATGGAAGGCTGGACACATCCACCGTCTTACTTGTCCCCGCTTGTTGATTTGTCGAGATTTGACGTGGCCCCGATATGCTAGCTAAAAATTGTCTGTTCATCCGACACGATAAGGATTGTCCAATCAGCATTTTTGCCCCAACACATGAATTCTAAACCTATGGGCCCATTATTTGGCGTGTTTGCTTGAGTGTGGCGTTTTCCGAACTTGCCTATTTGTAGGATGGAACACTGGCTTCCCGCATTACTTGCAGATTGCGCACTTTGTTCGCATGACATCCAGCAGCCAATAGGCAAAAAATTCGACAATTAAGGCAGGATAAAAGTCGAACGGTCCTATTGAATAAACAAACACCGTTCCGCGATAACTCCAGATTGATAGCTTTTTATATCGCAGCCAGCAGGGTGTGGACTTATGGGCCTGAGATTGAGCATTAGACCTCATACCTAACGGCGGGTTTTCGAGTTTCTGTTCACCTCTGGCCGGCCAACCGACGAACCTAAACGCGTCAAAAACGTTCCTGGGCTTGGCTTATTCATTTTAAGTAGCATAAGCGTCCTAAGGCGGGCACGGACAGTGTGGCTGGCAAATCCCAACCGCCCGTCTACGCGTGCCACACACGTTATCTGGTGCCTGGCGTGTATACTAAGCCCTAATTAGGGACGGCTCACATCTAACCTGTGTGGAGCTACCTCCGGGCTACGGCTCTCGACGCGTCACGACATATACACTTGCATGAGACCTAGAGTCTGTGGGCTAACTCATGAAATGTCAACCGAAATTCCGAAATGCCTTTTCGTTTCGGAAAGATTAATTAAGTAGGGTTGTGAAACTAGTCAGCCTGCAACATAATTACATAATACTTCAGTTACCCCAGGATGCGACTTTCGGATGAACCTCTTTCCCGGCTGCATGCAAAAACTACTCTCTGTAAGAAACGACTACTTAAGTGGCGTGAATTTATCTCATTGATTTTTAATGTCCCCAGATGTCTAATTATATTTCATGGAAAACATGCATGAAAATATTCATTCTTTTGCCCATTCGGTAGATAACTACGACTTCTAATTTTAGACTCGAAGGAGGGCCATGATTAGGTTTTAAAAATGCTTCTAATTGTGGGTATTTTGCATACTGTGAAATGGCCGTTCATAAATCGTCATGTCTCTGCATTTACCTGTGTGGCTTCTAAAGTTAACAATGTGGATCAAATCCACTGCTAAATATTATGAACTCTATATGGTCTCCCTTTATTACCGTGGGGAAATGTGTGGTTTTCCGTACGCGGAAAATATACTGCTTGTAGTTTGGAAACCCGGAATCCAAGTGCAACGGTAGAGCAGGTTACAAATTATTCAGGAATTGGAAAAGTTTTATAAAACCTAATTATACCTTTCCTTCGAATATAAGATTGGAAGACGTAATTCTCTACCGAATGAGCAAAAGAATGAATATTTGCATGCATGTTTTCCATGACATATAATTGGACATTTAGGGGCATCGGAAATCAATGAGAAAAATTCATGCTACGTAAGCAGGCATTTTTTACAGAATATACTTTATTGCATTCAGCCGGAAGGAAGTTCGTTCGAAAGCCGGCATCCTGCGGTAACTGAAATATTGATGAATTATGTTGCAGACTGACTAGTCTTACAACCCTACTTAATTAATCCTTTTGGAACGAAAACGCATTTCGGAATTTCAGTTGTCATTTCATGAGTTAGCCCACCTACTTTATTTCATTGAACAGGGTACTCATGCGCCACGACAACGGAATCCCCAGTTTTGGCCGCTCTCTCGCTTCCTTCTCGCATTTTCGGTCAACTGTTTGATTCTACCAGTCACCTGCTGATGAAATTGGTCGATGTGCCTACGGCAGCCTATAACTACTTTAGTCGGATGGGGGCCGTAGAAGCCTTGACAATTGTGGGAACGTTTCAGTTGCAAAGAAAGGCAACGGTAGGTTGAAGGGTCCCGCTTAATTGTCGGTAGACAGTAAGCTGATTAAATGCCCAAAAACACAGAAATTGTTTATATTTCTGCCGAAAGTCTTGTCGTACGCTTTCTTATAGCAGCGGGAATGAGTGCATTAGCTGAAAAAATAGCGAGTTTTGGTTCTGCAGCCTCACCTGAGTGATACCACAAGGTTAGCTTTCAAAAAATTTTAGTAAATGCGAGTATGCTGACTTTACAGATACCATGTATTTGCACCTTCCTCACCACTTTAATCCAGCGAGTGACTGTACTAAGGGGGGGGGAGGAGGAGTGCTTATACGCCAGCCTCGTTTACTTCAGGTATCAGTTAACAGGCGCTTCCCTGCGCTTGCTTCGAGCCCTGCTTGCGCTCTCTTTATCATCTCAATCCAGTGAGTGGCCAAGGCGGCTTACTAATGTCCTTGTTCGGACGATGTGGAACTCCATCGGTTCCCCTATAGTGGCCATGTGCTGCAAATTAACACGCCGTTCCCTCTGTGGCTTTCCAGTTGTGATTGCGCCCTCCCTATCCTCTCAGTCCAGAAAGTGGCTGTGTCGGGCGGATAGTGCACACACCACCTTCACCCGTTTCTCTGTGTGTGCTTCGAGCTCTGCTTGCACTATCTTTCCCTTCAGATCAGATCAGATCAGATTTATTAAGGGAAGGGTAGGCCAGCGCCTTTGAACTCCCCTTTTGGTTACAATAACGTCATAAAAAAAAACAATGTGTAAGGCAAGTGTGAAAAAAATTAGGTAAGTAATTACATACCACAAGCATTGGTCACTGGTATGAATTTGTCTGTGAATGCCTTCTATGTCAAAATTGTACAATATCCAGTACGGTACTGAATGGACCAAGTAATATCAAAGCAAGCGCATATGTGGCGGTCAGGAGATAGTGAAAATTGTAAAACATAATGTTACTAAAATATAGGGAGTAGCATGCTCTGTAGCATAAAACGTTTGATGGGGCGGGTGGCACAGGGGGGGGGGAATTCATTAGTTTCTGATGCTGTGGAGGTACATATCCACCGAGTGGCCAAATTAGGTGTGTTAACTAATTTGTTTTTTTAGTTAACCATGTGGTATCCCTCAGGTGGGGCTGCAGAACCAAACCTCGCCGAAAAAATAAACAAAGAGCAAATTTCAAAAAAACACAGTTTGCGTAACAATTTGAGGTCATGGGAAGTAACTGCTGTTGGCAGCATAATGTCTGCAGCGACCTGCAAATGGATATCGAGATAAAGTCTCATATAACGTGATCTATAGTCTACCGACACTTAAGTGGGATCCTTCAGCCATATCGTTGCCTGCAAAAGCTCTTATTGGTTAAGGATATCGGGAAGGGAGATGGCTTTATAAACTGTCAAGGTAAACTGGTAAGATGGCCCGGGAAACGGTAGGGTGAAAAACCCCACTCAACTGTCGGTAGACAGTGGATCGTGTCATATGGGGTCTTAACTCGACATCCATTTGCAGGCCGTTGCAGGCATTATGCTGTCAATAAAGTTACTTTCCATGATCTCAAACCATTACGCAAACTCCGTCATTTTTTGAAATTTGCTTTTTGTTTGTCTTTTTATTTAACGCCCTCATTCTTGTTGCCATACGAAAGCGTACGACAAGACTTTGTACAGAAATCAAAGCAATTTTGTGTTTTCTTGTATTTGGATAGCTTACAGTCTGGCGTGCTGCCCCACCCGTAAAACCCCCATTATTACCATCCCCGTCTGACACGAACCACAGTCTACCAACAGTTGCCGAAGGAGTTTGTGTCAAGACATGGATATAGGAGTAGAAGCTAGAGGTCCTCAGACATATTCATGGTGTAAGTTTAGAAGAATTCCTTTATATAGCGTCCTGTCAAATCATGGACAATCGAGATAGACGGTAAAGACCATTTATGACAAAGAGCATTTCTGGATTTCAAAGATATTTGTCTACGCTTCGGTGCAGGTTTCGGATTTGTTTGGAAGAGGATAACTTAACTGAGACAGTCCCTTGTACATTTGGTTGTTCCA